TTGGTCCTTGTAGTTTGTCTTAGTGATACTATCACATCGTTATTAAACATATTAGTGTATATGTATGATATGTTATCTTTAATGGACATATGAAAATTTATTGTGGCTATCACATTCTAACCACTATAATAAAATAATGCCATGGTTAACATTTTGATTTTGCATGGACTGGTAGGCTGGAAGGGTTAGGGCACTATGAGGACCTTAGACACGTTTGTGAGCATTGGGGCAAGGTGCCACCACTGGGTGGAAGTGTCCCTGAAGGCACTGGCATGACAAACAGGAAACAGGAAACAGGAAACAGAATAGGCCTTGTACCTATACTTGCACCTCACTTGGCCAGTGTAACCTGCAAGCCATCTACTGAGCCTCAGGAGTCACTCAAGAAATGCCATGGTGTTGCAGTCGGAAAATGGTGGTCTTGACATTATCCAGATTGAGGTTGAATACTTTTTCCATTATTTAGTACTTGAGTGAGTTATTTACTTTCTTAGGACCCCAAAATGCCTATCTATAAAATAAAGACAGTAACGTTTTCTTGACTACCTGCCATCAGAGCTAGAAAAGCATGTTCTCTATCTGGCCCACATAAGATGGTAGCTGCTTCGTGTAGGACAGACAGCTCTGACCTTGTGGGACATGGCAGGGCAGGGCCTCAGCTCAGACACATTGACATTTCCCCTGCTGACCTTCAGCCACCATTGAGCCTGTTTTGAAGCATTAGTCAGGAAGTGAGTGTGGTGAATTTTTTCTAAGTGTGGGAAAAGTGAAACCATTTCACTGCAGCCCAAGTCTATGATTTTACTTTCGCATGCATTGCATGCTTGCGGCCCATTCTGCTGACTTTGAAAATCAGAAATTTAATGTAATTTAATTTTTTTTCTCTCTCCCTTCTTCCCTCTCTCCCTCCTTCTCTTTTCCTTCTTCTTTTTTTGTGGTTCTAGGGATTGAACCAGGGCCTTCACACTGAGCTACATTCCCAGCCCCTTTTATTTATTTTTAAAATTTTGAGACAGGGAGGGTGTCCCTAAGTTGCTAAGTTGCCTGGGCTGCCTCAGACTTGCAATTCACCTGCTGCAGGCTCTCAGAGTACTGTGATTACAGGCATGTACCGCCACTTATTTCATATTTGGGTTACTTTCTCTTAGCAGTAAGGAACCTTTCAAATTTGGAATTTGGGGGAGAAATAATAGTAATGCGTCACCTTAGTGACTGGGTAAGGAGGAATGGAGAGGCGCTTCTACACTCCCTGGGGCAGGAGGCTGTGTTGGAACCTGATGTGTTTCCTAGGCTCCTGGGGTTCGATGGGGTCACGGCAGCGGAGCCTGGGGTGAAACCAATGGAAGGGTGAGCTGGGGATGACCTGGTGGTCACTCAGGGGTCTGTAGCCACGATAGACAAAGATGATGACAGGTCTTGCAGGTAGTGACTGATCTCTGACCAGTCTTGGGAGAACATTTCATAAATCATTCCAACACCATAAAGCTGGCAAGACAAAAGCACTCAGGTAGGGGATATCAAAGACTGAGTCTGTACCTCCCAGGGTCAGGAGTGGGAGCTTCCCTGTTCTGTAAGCTTAGACCCATTTTTAGGAGCAAAGCAGGGCCAGGGAGGTTCTCTGAAGAAGCAGGCATTTCATCCCAGAAAAGCTGAAAACTCTTTGGAAGGATGGCACAAACGATCAGGTTGGGTTGAATTTAAGATTAATTGGGCATTTATTTATCTACTCAGGAAGTGACCAGATTAATTATATGAAAAACTCAGAGAGCTACATCTCTCTGTTCCTCTAATTAATGCAAGTGAAATCATATATTTAATTAATTAATTGCATATTTAATCTCTCCACGCTCACTGTGCTAAAGTTCTCTCCAGGAACGTCTGCAAGTTTTGAGGTGGTATAGAAGCTGCAAAAATTCTTTCAAAAGCTGTGGATTCTGTTACTAGAAACTGCACACATACCAAAGCCTGCACTTGGCCCTTGGAACACATCAGCCTTGTTGAAAATCAGCCCCAATTCTAGTCTTAGGAACGAAACTAGTTCACTCTGCCTTCTTTCTGTGTAACCACCTGCACATGTCCAAAGGCAGTGACCAATAACCACATACAGACATACTGACTTTTTAGTAGTTTCCTCAGAAGCTGTCTTTATGAGTCACCCCCAGCTCTTCAGACAATAAAACCTTAGGATCTGTTCTTCTCCAAAGACCTAGATCAATTTCAATACTTGTTGAATGAATAAACATACCAAGATCCTCAGACACTTATCTTAGAAACTGTTGTCAGATTCTTCTGTATTTGTGTTGATTTAAAAAAAAAATCTCACCAGCAGGACTTTGTGTTCAACCTGATATGATATTTATTTATTTATTTATTTATTTATTTTCCGGTACCAGGAATCAAACTCAAGACCTCACACTTGCCAGGCAGGTGCTGTGCTGCTGAGTTAAATCCCCAGCTCTTGTTCTCTATTTAGCATGGCGGTCTGTTGCTGTCTCCTGGATCCCTCTCCTAGCCATGTGCCACCTTTATTAGAACACAAATAATAATGAATTTGTGTCTGGTCTGGGCACAAGGGCTGGAAGGACAGATGCGCTCAGCAGGGAACCGTAAGCATTTAGAACAGAGAGACGGTGTGAAAACTTCCTGAAGTCACCCAATCAGGTGGCATTTTAGATGCAACTTGGAGGATTAGCTAGCTTTTGCTTTGCATGAAGGTAGGAGACTTGGAAATAGATTCATCCCAGCTGGCATCATGGAAACATGATTAAAAGAATTGTGTACCTGAATTAGCCAGGCCTATCCAGAGTAACAGAGGTAACTGTGTGTGTGCCCGTGCGTGCCTAAGTCAGCTCTCTATATTCTTGGATTCTGCATTCATGGATACAACCAATTAACAATCAAAAAGATAGTTAGGTCTACAATAGTGTGTGCATACTAAATGTGGACAGATTCCTTGTCATGATTCCCTAAACAATACAGCACAGTAATTGTTTACACAGCTTTTACACTGTTTCAGGTTTTATAGGTCATCTAGAGATGATTTAAACTACATGAGAGGATGGTGTACATAGGCTACACACAAACACGAGTCCATTTTATATAGGAGATTTGATCGTCCATGACTTTGGTACCTGGGAAAGGTCCCGGAACCAGTTCACTGGGGATACCAAGGAAAGACAGAAATAGAGGAAGAGGGAGACAGAAATGAGAAAGAGAGAGGGATAGGAAGAGGAAGAGGGAGAGGAAAAGGGAAAGAAGGGGAGGAGGGAAAGGGAGAAGGAAGAGGGAGGGAGAGAGAGAATGAGAGAGAGAGAAAAGAGAGAGATAGGCATTTTTAGGAAATTTTTAGGAATTGGCTCACGTCATTGTGGAGTCTGGCAAGCGTAAAATTTGCAGGGAAGGGCAGCTGGCTGGAGACATAGGGAAGGGTCACAGTTCCAGTCCAAAGGCAGTGTGCTAGAAGAATTTTCTCCTCTTCCAGGGAGGGCAGTCTTTTGTCCATGCAGGCTTTCTATGGGTTGGATGGGGCCCACCCAGATTATGGAAGGTAAGACTAAAATATTAATCTCATCAAAAACATGTTCGTAAAAATATCTAGATTAGTGTCTGACCAAATGTCTGGATACTCTGGCCTTGCCAAGGTGACATATAAAATTAAGCATCACAGCACTAATTAGGAAAACCTAACATGGAACATCCGGGTTTCTCCAACAGTCAATTAGAGCAACACTGAGAATTCATGTGCCCACTGAGCATTCACGTGCCTGTGCCTCCTTGGCATCTTATACCTTGTGCCTTCCCTTCTTACTGATTCAGCCTGGAATGCCCTCTCCATGCCACTGGAAAAAGTCTGCTCATCTTTCACAGTTCAGATCGAATGTTCGCTCCATGACACTTTAATACCAGGTGTCCCATCCTGAAGATTTAATTCCTTCCTTCGTCCTTTATACCAATACTATTTTAACTTTTATCATATTGCTTTTCTATTACCAGTACATTACTTGAATAGATTAGCACAGTGGTTTAAAGTATAGCTCCTGCTGCAGTCTTCCTAGATTTAGTTCCAGATCTCAGCAAGTTGTCCAGCTTATCTGTACCTCAGTTTTGTCATTTGTCCAGTGAAGCTAAAATAGTACCAGCCACCTGAATTTGCAGTGAAGAGCTAAGAAGTTAGCGTGTGTAAAACTCTTAGAACAGTGTCCAGCACATACTAGCTACTTTTAAAAGGTCGTTATTTTCATTTTCAGTGTTATTGTTGCTATCTAATTCTTGTGTTGCTGTCTGATTTCTGTGTCATATGGGAAGATGAGGATATCATCATATTCCTCTTTTCATCTTCCTACTGTATGGAATAGGCCAGAAGCTTACAGATATTTATTGGAGTGTTTGAGGTATGACAAAAATACAGTGAATGTTAATTTTAAAAATTATGGTAAAAGACACATGGTCATTAATCTCTCTCAAACTACTCCTGCTTCTAACATTCCTATGCCATCTTTCTTGTCACTTTCTGAAGCAGTTCTAGAAGTCCTCTTTGAAGAGTGTCTTTAGTTACACAGATGTGGCTGCTTCAGTGTCCAGAATCAGTGAAAAACACTTATCTTTTATGGTCATTTTCACTTTAGGGAAGAGTCCGAAGTCCTGCAGTGTCAAATTTGGTAAATGAGGTATATGAGGACACACTGTAATGTTTTACGTCTCTCTATTTCATTGACTGGCACTCAGCAGCAGTATTCCCATATATTTTTAAAATCACACCTCATCAAAACATCACACTCATGAAAGAGGGCTTCTGGAAGTTCTTCAAAAAATGGCAAAAATGATGGACACAGGGGAAGTAGTCTGTGCAGAATTAATGATGATCTTGCTAAAATAATTTTTTAAAAATTGAAACATTCACCATATATTTCCATCACACCTAGTATATAATACCTTCTATTTGTACAGTGTTCTGCTTGCAACATCATCACCCCCTTGAACCTCACAACAAACTTGCCAAGTTGTAGGAATCCACATTTTACAGAGAGGATACTGAGAAGTAGACATGAAGTGAATTGTCCACTGTCACACACAGCGGGCATGAATCTCCACCTCCAAGGACATGAGAGAGGGATGCAGGTATGCTGGGGATTTGGGGGAGGTTTTTCCTCTCTGGCCCAGCTACCCCCTGGATCCTTCCACGTCCTTCTTCTCACTGCAAGAACATGAAGTAAGAAGGTTGCAAAGAAGTGAGATCCCTATTCACACTACGGAACTGATACAGGAAAGGGTGTGGGCAGGAGGAGGTGATTAGTACAAGATATCCTCGGCTGTGACTGTGGCCTCTTCGATTTTGGTCTTGATCTCTGGGAGAGGAATCTGGCTGATTGCCACCACAACCAAGTTTGCTGCATGGGCCGAAGCGCTGGCCACACAGATCCAAAATGACTCTTCATAGTGCTCCTCCACCACGACAAACTGAAAGAACTGCTCCTGGAAGTTGGCGATTCGTTCTGTCAAGTCGTGAAATTTCACAGCGGCCATGAAGCTGGCGATGGCTAACGCCACGACTCCACCTGAAACCCAGAAGATGCCCTTCATTCACCACTCCTTTCTGCAGCTGTAAGGACTCTATGTGAGGTGACATTCCTGTGCCATGCACACTTACTTTGGGTTTAAAGAATTACAAGGCAATGCAAACTTTAATTTGTTCTTAAAAGCAACAGGTAGCCCACAGTGTGAGGACAAGAGTCAGGGTTGTGTGGGGAAAAGAAAATAAACTTTATATCAGATGGACTGATCTCCCTAGATATTTTAGGAAATATTTTCCTCCTTTTAGGAAAATCATGCCATCTGTTATGATTTATATCTAGATGTCCCCCTAAAACCTCATGGGATCATAGATGGGGCTTTTGGGAGATGACTGGATCATGTGGGTGTGATACTTATCACTGCATTAGTCCACTGGTGGATTTATTGCTGGGTGTGATGTTGGGAGGTGAAGCCTGGTGAGGAAAGGTAAGTCACTGTGGCCGTGGCCTAGAAGAGTATATATGTATATATGACCCCCCTCCTCCCTTGATCCCTCTCTGTTGCCATGAGCCTGCCATGCCCCTCTGCCATGCTTCCCTGCCTTGGAGCCAGCTGACTATGGACTGAAACCGCTACAAACTGTGGGCCAAAACAAATCTTTCTTCCTTTAAACTGTGAGTGTTGGCTGTTGTGTCTCAGCAACAAAGAAAGTAACTAAGACATCATCCTTTCTAAGATATCCACATTTAGGGAAATTCAGCCTCTGTCTTAGGATCTCTACATGGGTTGGGTGGGGAGAAGTAAGAAAATCACACTTTGCAGGCTGAGACCCTGGATCTGGACCATTGCTTTCCTCTTTCATTCTGTTCTTTCCATGATTAAGACTATCAAGAGGGCGTGAGAGAAGAAAGGCCACAGGGGGAAAGGCAAGTGAACAGGGAGAGTCTGGAGTTCCATATCTCATTTATTTCTCTATCACTTATTTGAAACTTTGACCTTCTTAGGAACTGGTTTTTCTCTTTTTCTCTTGGTGTATCCTTTTGTTTCCTATTTTGATTTACACTAATGTTTTAAAAAACACATTTATTAGGCTTTTTTATCTTTTGTCACTGGCTTATTTCAAGTAGCATAATGTCCTCAATATTACAGACTATGCCATCTTCACTGAAAAAAAATCTAGACACTGGAGACAGACATGAGCATGGAAAACACAAATTTACCTTCATCCTAAAAGCCAGGTATAAACAGTTTGCACACATTAGTATAGTATATTTCTTTACATTTTTTCTTTAATAAAATTAGTATTATGTTGCTGTTACTTTTATTTTTAAGTTTTATTTTCCCCTTCATTTGAACATTTTTGCATGTTAAGTTCTGTCAGCACAATTTTAAATGAGTGTGTAATATTTTATTTTGGCAACACTATAATTTATCTAAGCCTGACCTTATTTCTGGAAGTCTAGATGACTTCTAACTGTTAATATTGTAAATTACTGTGATGAACACCATTTTGTGCAGATCCTTATACTTGTCTTATGTGCTTAACATAAATCCTCATGTGAAATTATTCATTGAAAGCTATTTCTATTTTTAGACTTTGACACTGAAGTTTTGTCTACCTGCCTGTTTTTTATATGCTCATCAGCAGAATTTGCGAGTGTTATCTCTCTGAGGAAGGACACTGGCAGACATAAGTATTTATATTATAAGCACTTTTCATGTGCCAGCCATGGTGAGGGCCCGTACAGAGACAAACGAGACACCTACTGTCTAGACCAGGCTAAGCCACATATACAGGTGATCCTACAGGGTGGCTAGCATTGGTACACAAGCAAATATTCAATAACTGATTTCTAAATATTAAATTTCACTCTAACAAAATAACATGGTCTGTCTATACTTTATAGTCACCTTGTATAAGGTATAGGCAGTGGAATCTGTATAACATACAGTGCCGTAATGGAATCTTGACTATTTGACATGGGTTTTCTTAGACAGTCCTTGTTTTAGGGGATTTTGTTACTTTCAATACAGATGGTTTGTTATATGTAAAATTAAATGTCATTGTGTGTATCAGTACATGTCCACATCCCAACACAACATGTACACTCACAACTTTGTGTTGGAAACATTTTTGACTTGGAAAGTCAGTCATAATGGTCATAAATAAGATCACAATCAATGAAAAGACAAAGGGCTTAGAGCCAGTTATACTAGAGTTGGAATACTATCCCTACTACTTATCGCTGTGTGACTTTTTAACTTCTCCGAGCTTCAGTTTCTTTATCTGTGCATGTGAGTCTACGAATACCTCCTCATCGGAATTGTGAGGTCAAAGTGAAGCAAGTCATGTAAAACCCTTAGACCCACGCCTCGCACTTGGGGGATGCTCAATAAATAGCATCCATCCTGTATTAGGGCGCAGTGCTGGGAATGTGTTTGGGGAAGTGAGAGCAGAGAAGTGCAAACAGCCAATGGGCTGCATCTGCATTAATAGGGGTGTGTGTAGGGGGAGTCCAAAGCCATTGGCAGCTTAATGGCATTTTATTTCTTCTTCTGTTTGGGAAGTCTCAAAGGATTAGCCTTTTACAGGTAGTTTTCTCGTGTGCAGTACCCTTCTCCTTCTGTCATTTGTGGAGCCCTCCCCGCAATATGAGCTGTAGCAGAAGCTCCACCTCCTCACCCCTCTCCCCATCCCCAGATCTCTGTCTCTCCCCATCCCCAGATCTCTGTCTCTCCCCATCCCCAGATCTCTGTCTCTCCCCATCCCCAGATCTCTGTACTCCCGATCACCTGGTCATCTCTTCACTGTGCTCCATCTTTAGCCATTCATACACTCTAACAATGTGGTTGTTCTGCTTTTAGTAAAGAGGACATCGAGGCCCACCAAGGAGAGCTTAGATCTTAGGAGGTGAAAGTCAAGGGAAATGTTTTAGTTCCTTTATACCTTCCGTCCAGCTATTTGGAGTTTAGCCTGGTGATGGTGTGGACAAGAATTTTTGTCCTTAGGAGGTTTCTTACCTGCCAGGATGTTCCACAGGCAGATGCCCCCGGGGCCATTGACTGCCCGATAAGGGACCTGGACCATGTTGAGAATGGCAAAGCCCATGCTGACCAGAGCCAGGGCCAAGGCCAGGAAGAGGAGCAGCAGAATTGTCACATGAAGGCCGGTGTTGAGCTCCTTCACCAGGAGTGGGAAGACTAGGGAGAGAAGACATAGCCCCATAGTTCAAAGTCAGAGTTCAGCTCATTTTCAAGGAAAACCCAAACTTGCTTCCCAGGAAGGCTTTGGTAGAGGAGGTGGAGAGAAAGACGGGAAACACCGGGTTTTCCAACATCAAGATACTTTCTGGGATGAACTCCTAGACCCTAGAGTTACCGCTTGTCAGTTGACCAACAAAATCCTCCCAAGACCAAAATGTGCCCCAGCTGGCACATGAAAATTTTAGTTTTCCATAAGATGCAGCAGAATAATTTTGTGAAATATTCATTTGTATTTCTTTTATCTATATTTGCAAATAGTACCAGCTATGAAGATGAAATAACATAGTAGAGTACTCCAAGTATTGCCTGAGGGAGTCTGCTCTCAAAAATGGCAGCGTGGGCATTGATGTTATTTTTACTCTCTGACCTGGGGAAGTCACACGGCTTCTCAAAGCCTCACTTTCTTCAACAGTGCAGTGGGATAGTAATGGCTGCATAGGAGTGGGAGGTTATCAGCTCCTGCTGAGCAGTCATGGGCCTTGCTCCATACATCTGTCATCCGTCACCTCATTCAGTCCTTAGGATAAAGACATGAAGAAATTCCCTTTACCCAGAGGTTTGGAGATTAAGTTCCTTATCTTTGCGCAAGGCAACCCTAACTCTAGACAGGATTATAGTCTTATGTATCACCTGGCATTAAGAGCCTCAAGCCAGTTTTCAGTAATTATAAAGGGAGAATTTAAAATAACAGAAGTCAAAGACCTCCTGAGAATGCCCACTTCTCTGCAACTACTCCAGAGTTTCTAATGAATGTTTCTTGGTGAAGTCTGGGTCTATCTGTTGAGTTTTGACCTCATTCCTGCATTGGATACCAGGGACCAACCCTTCACAGGCTCCCATCCCTCCCTGGGGCCAGGATTCAATGTATCCCTGGTTCTACTTTCACCCTCTAACCCTATTCCTCCAGCTCCTTGCCCTGCCCACCTATCTCTTTTTATTCAGTAAGGGGTGGAATCTTCTAAGCCTTGGCAGTAAAGTTTTATCCTTCTCTTGAAAGGTTTCCTTTCCATGCACAAGTTTCCAGGCACTCCGCATTTATATCCTTAGTTCTGATTTAACTTTCCAGTTCTATATTTCCACTTACTGTTATCTCCATACGGTTATCTCACCAGCCTTGGAAATTGTACCCGGGAAGATGAGCTCCTTCTCAGGAGGTTGTCTTTCTGAGGCATCTCTCTTCCCTTTGCTTCCATTTCACCTCTGCTAAAATTTTCCCCTTTCTTCTCAAACCCTCAGCCTATTCTTATTCCAAACACAGTAGCATGCATCTGATTACCTGTTTTGTTATTTCCTTTTTGATCACGCTGTTCTTTGGATGCATGACTAGCACAGTAACCATCATTAAATTCTTAAAATAGAACATAATCACCTATGGGATTATCAAAGTTCAAAATGCTCAATATATTGCATTGAGGATGGTCTAGGGAAAAGGCACTCTCAAATCCTGTGGGCATATTCATTCCTACAACTTCATCAGGGTGCAATTTGCCAGCATCTTTTCAAAGAATTTCATGTCTAGGAATGTATTTTCCAAATACATGTATTCAAAGCTGTATTTATTGGATGTTTACTGCACTGGCAAAAGATTGGAGAAAAACCAACACATGAATCAAGAGAGGTAGATTCAATCAGTGAAGGTACAACCACATGACATGATGCATCTTTTAAAAAGAACTCATGTATACATGAGGATATGAATGTATACCAGACTTGATTTAATAAAATACTGAGAAACAATCACATTAGAATGAGGGGTACAGGGAAATAAAGGAGTATTTGGGGATTATAGAGTGATGTGGAGAGGGAAATACAGTACCCAACTCAGGCTCCATTAGGAGGAAGGATATGAAGTATGTTCTAAAATCTTTTCATTACCACAGGATAAATCTTACCTACCATCCCCCAGCCCTACTCATGTGTCATGACCTGGGCTCAGGGTCTCCTGGTGAACCGAGATCTCAGTACTTGTCTATACACACCGCTACTTAGAAATTCAAGTCTTTCCTTGGGAGTTTCAATGCATTGATTCTTTCCATTTGTTTTTGAGGGCAAGTCTACATTTGGTCCCGTCACACTGAGCAGCCCCAAGAATGCTGTTGTTCACTGACCTTTTGTGTTTGTACTGTTACCAAGGGTTTTAGCTGTCTCTGACTTAACAAAGAAATTTAAGTTTCCAGATGGAAATGACCAGCATAAACACAGATGATCCTCCGGCACAAATGAGCACAGCTGCCTCTACTGCATGCAGAATGTGTGCCTGGCACTTCATACATGTTCTTTCTTTTAGTGCTCATGCCCACCCTCTCTCTCTTACACATGAAGAAACTGAGGTTCAGAGAAGCTACATCGCCTAGCCAAGTTCACACAGCCAGGAAGTGCTGCCTTCTTTGCTAGAAGGCTCATAACAGAAAAGTCACTAAACTTAGATAAGTAAAGTTTTAGAATTTTAATCAGAGTGTAGCTTGAATTCCGGAGGTGTTATTTTGAATTTGAGTGAGTATTCTTATTTCATATGCACTAGACCCACCTCCCTTGAATCCCAGAATTGGTAGATGATTCTACCAGCATCTAAAACTTAGATGATTTATTTGTTCCTGATGCCAGAGGAGACCAGCAGTCCTCTTTGCCCCAGTATGGCATTGGAAGTCACACCCAGGAGGTGGCCACTGGAGAGATATTTGTGGGACAGGAATTAGGGAGGGGACCAGAGAACTGAAAACTGCAACACACTTTTGTATTGGATGCTTTCACAGAACTTACTCTGTGTATTGAGTTCTCTGATTTTCAATTTTTTTTTGTCAGTGAAAGGGACATAATAAAAACCTTTCATGTAGCATAGTCAAAGCCACTGGTGATGGCTTGAGAGAATAACGCTCCTTGTGTCTGGTCCACACCCCAGCTCTCCTTTTGGCAAGTGGTCATGTGTCTGTTTTGTTTTTCCTATTTTCCTAATGGCAACCTGGCCTGTAAATGGTCAACAGATGAACATTTAAACACTGCTAATGTAATGATTGTCTACTCCTATTTCCAGCCACTCAAACAGACAGGTTAATTTGCTTTTATTTCAAAAGGTCTAGGTACAAAAAAGGACCTTAACTGTTTGTGATGGATCATGCGTTGGCGTTCCCTGTGATTGATGTGGGAACTGATTCCTTTGGGCGTCTCTTTGGGAGGCCTCTGTGAAGGTGAGAAAAGACACTTTGTAAGTGAGGCCCAATAAAAATTCTCCACTCTCTAATTTACAGAGCACTTCTACATCCTCATCTCTGCCGATCTGCACACGGCCCTGCAAACAGGAATGCTTTTCTTTTCTTTTCTTTTTTTTTTTTTTGTCTTTTTGAGACAGGGTCTCGCTATGCAGTTCAGGCTGGCCTTGAGCTCACTTTGTAGCCCAGGCTGGTCTCAAACTTGCAACGATCCTCTTGCCTCAGCCTCCCGAGTGTTGGGATTACAGGCGTGCACCACCACGCTCCGCTCAGGAATGCTTTTCTATGGATCAAATATATGTGGCAGATGTTGGTAAATCCTTACTCCAAGTTAAAGGTGAGAGACTCTGACTAGCCCATTGCTCCTATGGGCTTAACAGCAGCTGGAATTAAGGCTCATAAATCTAAAGGAAACTAGATTGCATTGGAGAACTTAATAGTACAGGCAGTGTCCCAAACTGCAGTGGCGTAACATCAGCTAACCACAGGAGGAACCCAGGCCCAAGGGTCCTGTGAGAACTGCCAAAAAGATTCCTTCTAAGACCCTGTGCACCATGTGCACAAGGCCTCCTCTGGGACCACCCCAAGCAAAACATTCTCAGAAACTGTCCTACCTGGGGATAGAAATAAGACAACCTTTGTGTTTGTCACACAGGTCTGATGCTTCAAGGACTAGAGCATGTTAGAGGAGCCAGGGAGCTAGTGCCTGTGGGTGGCCTGAGACAGGGAGAGAAGGGAGATTTATGGGGTTCCTCTGAAGGGCGAACAGAAAGCTATGAAAGCTATTTCATCTGCTGGGAAATTTCTGTGAGCTGAGGATGCCAGGGGTCTTACCATTAGGGTGCCACTGGCATGTGACTGCCCTGTAAGCTCACACTCATTCAAGCTTCACTGTGTCCCAAGGACATCCTCTGCCATCAGGGAATGCAGTTTAGAATCAAGCACTGCATAAAATTGTCTTGGTCTTCTTTTAACATTTCCTTAATTTCTTCTTCTTCTTCTTTTTTTTTTTTTTGCTTATATGTAGTCGTTTTTCAACCTTTAGGTCATGTTTTAAGTGGAGCTATTTTTCTAATATTCAGGGTTCAATTTAGTGGGTGAGTACATATAAATATGCTTGGGTTTTTTCTTGAATAAACACAACACGTATTTTCTTCATGTATATAAATGATGACGGTTTGCCTTACATTTGTCAACAGTTCCAGCTTTCTGTCTGTATACATTTACTAGCACAGGTGCCCTGGCCAGCTTTCTAAACACTGAGATACAGAAATCAGGTAACAGATAAAATTCCTGATCTTCCTGCATCTGCATGGTGTTGATGAATCATAGTTTTGTAGGACGTTGGTCTCACTAGTGATCTAGCTGTTTTATTCTAAAAGCTTGGAGAAAAAATAATAAAGGCTTAGGGAATCTAGTTTTTCTTTTTTCCCCTTCCTGGAAGAGCCTTCCTAAGGCCAGCTCAGATTCCTGCGTCTGTCTTTGCTGACCGCTCTGTTTACATCCTGAGTGCTGTGAACCGAGACTGAACGCAGGCCAAGGCTGGTGTGGCTCACGTTCCAGCGGACAGTCCATCCAGGACCGTGCCCAGGTCTCTGCCAGCCAAATGAGCTTCAGCCCTTGTCGTCTGATCCCAGCACTTGGGGTAGAGCTCCTTTGCTTTTTCTCAGACTGGGAAGCTTTTGGTGACACAGATGTGGAAGCAGTTACTGACTCTTTTGAAGAGTCATTTCTGCAAGCGTCTACACCTGAGGGTTTGTGGTTCCGAATGCCAGAGTCACATGGCATGGGTCTGGTGTCTGGCATTTGGTTCTGTGGTTTCCTGGCTGAATGACCTCGGGAAGATTATGTAATCTCTCAAGCCTCAGTGCAAATGGAAACATTAATCATTCCTTCATTATAAGTTTATTGTAAGGCTTAAAAGAGACAAGCTGTGTGCAGCCATTAGTGGAATGCTAACACATATAAGCCCTTAATATTTTAATAGGTATTATTAATAAAGGTAAGCTACAAATCTCTATGTCCCATGTTCCTAGCTGCCTCTATTAAAAAAGGAAGTCTTTTTGTTTTTTAAAAGTTTTTATGCTGAACAAAAACCCTTCGCTTGCTATGGACTTTGACGTTATACCTTAGACTGCGGCAACCCTGAATTCTGCATTTAGACGTAAGCACTCTTACAAATTAAAAAAGAAATCTATGGCTAAGTCAGCTTTCATGCCCCCAGCATACTCACTTGTGAATTGAGACTGGCGGTCTCCGAGCCCGCACTGCCGCACCTTGCGACCTCTGAAGAGCCCATAGTAAATGTCCCCAAGGAACTTGACCAGCTCTGGATCCGTGGCATTGACCAAGTCCACCCCCGTCTGACAAAGGATTTTCCCACTCAGCCAGTGCGGCACGGCCAGGGCAACGATGAGCAGGAGGAAGGAGGAGAAGCTGAGTAGAGAAGCCAGCCCGTACCACGCTGTTTTGAACCATCCGGGCATGCTAGGGGGCGCGGGTGGTTGACATCTTCCAGACACTTAGCAATGCCCTGCTCCACAGCACCTCTTCCAAGCATAACCTTTCAAGATTCCGAGTCCATCCTGTCGGCCTCCCTCAGCGCCTGTCTTTACAGCCTATGTTTACTACACGCACATCCGGAAGACTGCAGAGACAATCATCGCCAAGCTCGGTGCAGTGGAGTGTGTTACTGGAGGCGGTAACCTTATCTCTCCCTCTAGACTAGTGTTTCAGCAGCGGGTTTAATTGTTCCTCTGCTCAAGTATTTAAACAACCCCGAGTGGACCTCCTAATGGCAGGGAGTTAGGAACAATCGAAACCAGGTAGACAGGAGGATAAAGCAGTGTTCAACAGTCTCCAGAAATGCACATGGTGGAAGGTAAACGAAAATGCAATGATTCGCACTTGCACATGGATCAAGGGTCGATCTCTTTGATGTGTGCCTTGGCATTTCGTTCTCTAAATGTCACTGCTGTCAGAATCCCTGGAACTGTGATTAATACAGTGTAATAACCCCAGTTCCTAAGACTTTAACTGAAATGTGTAATACGGGCTTTGTGGATGTGTGACTGAGTGCATCTGCTGAGGGTAAAGTCACAGCATGAATCTCATGGCTGCTGGGCACAGCCTAGACACCAATACTGCATATTCTGAGCCGGGCTGGAGGCACTGTGTGTGGGTGGGAGGTGCAGAAAGATGTTTAATGCAGGGCCCTGTTGGCAAGAAGATTATGAAAGTGTCAGCATGCTGGTTCTCAAACAAAGGTGATCTTGCCCGTCAAGGGAAATTGGGCAATGTCTACAGATATTTTTGGTTGTTTCTGATAATGGGGGTACAGAGGCCTGCTACTGGCATCTAATGCGTAGAGGCCAGGAATGCTGTACATATCCCACCACGCACAGGACAGCCTCTGTCACTATTACCTGGTCGCAAGGGTCGGTAGTGCCGCAGTTGAGAAACCTTGTATTAGGTTCTGTGGCTTGGTTTGGTCTCCGAAGTGGATTTGGATATTCTTGGCAAGTGAGGGCTTACTTACCTTGCAGACACAAAAGTCCAATGGCAACAGGCTTAAACTTGAGTCCCTACCAGGCCAAAGCCCGTGGTGTCTCATGTATGAATAAGTTTTAGGAATTGTAATAATTCCCCATGGTATAATTTGCTTTAAGGGCATTAATTTATTAAGCATAAACATTTAAATTATACACTAGCATATGACAAATTTTGTGTTCTTGTTCTGGCAATTTTTAAAAATATGTCCCCAAATTGATACTTAACTCTGCTCCTACTGGTAAAATGGAAGAGGCCTGGAACTCTAAATCTCTAGAAAGCGCAGTGAATGCTGAGTTAGAAAAGTGATAAAATCA